TTGGATAATGAATTTCAGACCAAACTTTTCTGTCAAGTTGAAATACAAACATTCTATCTGATAATTTACTAAATCGTGCTACACTGGCTACTACTCCTCCATAAATTAACAAAGAATTAGTAGCTTGATGATATACAGTTGAATGTGCAACTACACGTACATCTAACTCTTTACCTCCTCGAGGATGTACTTCTTTCCATCTTTCTGTAGTTGCTGTAGGATCAGCTTGAATTGAAATAAATTTATATAAAATATTTCATCTTTTGATTATAATAAAATTAAAATATAATAAATATATTGAATTATGTAAACTTACATAAATTCAATTTAATTTTATATAAACTTGATGAAAATTCACCATCAACTGTACTACCACCAAAAAGATAAATATAATTATTTGCTAAAGTAAGTGTATGTCTTGTTAATTGTGGAGGATAAAATGGAGAATTTTTTGCCCTTAATGTCCAGGAACGTGTATTAACATTGTAATACCATAATTCATTAGATAAAGAACCATCTTGTATTTTTCCACCATATATAACAAAACCACCTATTAATGTACAAGTTATTACATAAGTTACAAATTATAATAGTAATGTAATTATTTTTTTTTTTTAAATACTTCAAATATATGTGACTGACCATCATATCTACAAGCAGCATGTCCATATCGCGGACTTGGTTTAGGTAATTTATCAATTGATTTTGTAGATTCATCTTTAAATAATTCGTCTTTTATTTTAGGTTCTTGAACATAAATATTGTCTCCAATAGGATCTTCTGCAATTTCTTCTTCCCAATTTAATATATGACTTTTTGTATTTGAAGTATGAAATTCTTTATAGAAATCTAGGTTTTCAAGATTTCTACGATGTCTAATATAACATTAAATCAGTAAAAAAAATATCAATATTAAATTAATTATCATTAAATTATCATATATTTTATTCTTACCTTGCAGTTTGTGCATATCGAGGTCTAGGATGTTTAGAATGTTTTCTTCTAAGATCATCATTTCTTTCTATTCTAACTGTATTTCGACTAGTTTCATTATTTCTAGTTTCATGAATCTTTTTTTCATGATCTCCAATCCTAAATTCTGACCAGCCATATCTTTTTTCTACATTTGCAAGATTACGTGAATTAAAGGTACTATTATTGTCTCTAATACCAGAAAGTAATTTCCATATGAAAGATGAAGTACGAAGACCATATAATTCTTTTTCATCTGCATTTGTTCCTTTTAATTCAAGAGCAAGGAGTATAGGATCTAAATGTTCTGCAGATGAGATGCCTTCTGTTTTAGAAAGAAATATAAATAATAATTTTATAATATAATATATATTAAAATTCTAATATATATATATATATATATATATCTGTAGTTATAATGAATTATTTTAGTGCTTTCTTTTTACCTAATTCATTACCATATTCATCTTCCCATTGACTTATATTAAATCGATATACTTCCAAATTATCAAGTATATAATTGAGATCATAACCACCAAAAACATAAAGAGAATCAGTTTCTTTTATATAAACTGTGGTATGTGCTGCCCGTGGCCTTAATCCACCTTCTGAATGAGAAAGCCAGTGCCATCTATTTATCATATTTAGTAATTAATATAAATAATAATTATATTTAATATAATAATATATTCCATAACATACTTGTTGCCTTCAGGATGCGTTTTATGTAATGAACAAGATTGTCCTGAATATCCATTTTGACAGTGACATCGTTTTAAATCACATTTTCCACTATAACTACAATTATTTGGACAAAGAGCTCTAGAACAATCTCGTCCACCCCAATCGTCCTCACAAAAGCATGTATTATCAATACATTTGCCATGATTTGTGCAATTGTTTGAACAATTTGTAACTGAAAATTCCGCATGGAAACCATCCAAAACATAGTTTGTATCACTATACAATAGTATTAACATCTATAAAAAAAATATTTAAAAAATAAAGTTAACATAATTTTTTAATAATTTACCTATAATTTATTATTAGAATTTCATATTCACATACATAGCCAGATGATGATGTTACTTGTTGTGGTTCAGTTTTACCACTGAAACTACCTAAAAGAGGAGATCGAAAAGAATCTCCATCATAAACAAAAACATAATCATAGCTACATTCTGTTCCCATTGTACGAAAACTTAAAGTAATAAATTGTCGACTATTATTTGCTGTAAAATATATAAGTTAAATAATTATAAACAAAGAATAAAAAAAAATTATTATAAGTAATGTATAAGATCTTTTACCTTTTATAAGCCATTCACAATGAGAATCTTGAGTATAATTTGAGCCCAATGGTCCATCACTAATAATTCCCCAAGAATCAGTAAAAACTTTTCTTGTTTTATCACATGGAATTTGTTTTGGAGATGTCTGTGGAGCTAATTCGAAGCCCCGCAAGAGGCAACTCCATATAGTAATCCATATTATGGTGGACAAAACCCACCCCATTACAGTATATTCACCTCACTGCTGTTTGATAAAATAAAACTCATCATCCATGTTTATTGGATTGTTTTTTGAGCAATTATATTGTAAGGACAAAGAGTTATATCTGAAAAAATTAATTTTTTTATTATTTCAATAATTATCATAGAAACTATTAATTATTTAATATTATTTATCGCACTTATAAATTTAATATCATTATATATATTATAAATTTAATATAATTATATAAATTTTAATATTTTATGAGATAGTTATAATAGTAAAACTTATAATAATATTTTATAAAAACAATTTATTATTATTACATAATGATAATATGATTAATTTTTAAAACAAAAACAATTAAATATATAAATTTTTTATTAAAATTTTCAATTATATTTTATATAATAAATATAGAAAAATCATAATATATTTTTGTTAATTTATAATAACAATATAATACAAAAATAATAAAAAATGAAAATGAATAAAATCATCTTATTATTAATAGTATTGCATGCAATAAAATCTTTTTATCCATAGCTGTTTATAAAAACATGTATCAACCATGTATTATTAATTCTGTATTACAAATAATTTTAAATCACAGCAATAGTATTCAAGTATGCCTTGTCACAGTCACGTTGTACAATAATCATTCAAGCGTCAAACATATCGTAGACATTAATCAGTTATAAAAAAAATTTATAATAAATATTAATTTATAAGTACATTACTATAAAACTTGCAACAATAAGTAACAAAACGACAAAACACTATAATTTTTATCAATGAAACAAAATCAAAAAACATTCTTTAACTAAATAGATACGATAAAACTTCAGCTGCGATTGAATCAAAACATTATGTACGTATACACATATACACGTCAGAAAAATTTGTACCATGCTATACTTTGAACAGTTGCATTCTCTGAACGCCAGTTATTATGAAAATATATATCTTGATTATCACGACTTAAGTATTGCTAATACAAAACGATAAGTGATAAAATAAATCTGCAAATATGAACAGACAAGAATTATCGTATAAACTCTGTTCGGCCTCGCCTGTTGACACCTTGACTGTCTCTGCATATGAGGTCAGGGTGGGGGCTCTTCAACCGCCATTAAATTCCCTTCATTTCGAACACGATCTCAATATTCGAAAGTTTCCAGGGACACTTTGATTGAAAAAAAACGCCATATAAAATCATTTTCCATTATAGGTTCAATATTCAATTTATATCATTACACGATGTTAATCAAATAATTTTATAGTTGCTATAAAAACAATTTTTTTTTACAATTTTTACACGTGTATTTCTTACAACTTTGAGATATTTATTACAAAAACGAACATTTTTTTTTTGTTTAATAAATCATAAAATTAAAAGGACTATAACAAAACATTAAAAAAATAATAAATCAAATTTCAAACTATACTATAAACATACAAATGAATTTATTTTCATTAATTAAAAAAAAAGTTTTTATTTAATTTTTAAATTAAAATTATTATATTTCTTGTAATTTTATAAAAAATATAGTTAGAATTGCATTTAAAAACTATAAAAAAAATTTACGTGCATATATATACATATACAACACACATATACATGTAAATATGACAAAAATTATTGATTTTTTATATTTTTTAAATATAATTTTTACTAAATTTATTAAATATTTTAAGAATGACTTATAGGAATGAGGATAATCTTTTTAATAAAATTTATTAAATAATAAATTGAAAAATTTAATCATAAACTTTCGTATTTGAAAATCAATATGTTCTTTATGAATATTTATTATAAATACTCAATTTGTTTTTTAAAATTTATTGCAAAAATAAATATTATTACAGCAATTGCATTTACATTTAAATAATTTATATTGCAAAAATAGCTTTTAATTTAAAAATTAATATTAATATTATCACATTATGGTCATATTTCTGATATTTGTATTTTTTTTTTTTTTGCATTTAATTAAGATATACTATTTATAAATATGAGATACTATTATTTTATATTTTTTACAAATGGAATAAGTTAAAAACTTAAAATATTAAAACAAATTTTAAAACAATAAATATGATAGTTAATCTTTTAAAATAATATTAATAAATAATTCAAATAATTCAAATAATTCAAATGTTTTTTTGATAAAATTAATTTTTTTGTTAATTTATATTAATGTTTTGAATAAAAAAAATAGACTTGTTTTTACTTTTGTATTAGAATGTATTTAAAGTTTATTTGATAAATCTCAAATATAATGAAAAATAAATGATTCATAATGTGTTAATTATATTTTATATTTAATATTTATTTTCAGGTACTTTAAGTAATGAAATTAAAATTTCAAATGTAAATGCAAAAATATTATATCTTATTAGTTTTTTAATATTTATATATGTATGAAAATTTTTATATAATAATTATACAACCAATTAATTATTATATTTATAATTATTCGTTGTATATTCAAATTATTGTTTAATAGGGAAAGATAAAAATAGACACATAATTAGAAATCTGAAATATATATGATGTTATCATATTATACACTTGAAGACTATAATGTATTAACTTATGCATGTCAGAATTTGCAAAGGTCTATCAATGTATTTTAATTATAAACTTGTCGAACCGATTTATATCTATCAACTGGTTTATTATAATGCATAGCCTCTATGACAATAGAAAAGATCAGTAACCACCCCCCTTAATGCACTACATGTGTGCACTTACATATGTGATCCCATAACATATCTGTGGTATACTTCTCTAAACCATCAACAGATATTCTGTATATTGCCAGAATCATAACGATTGATACAATCGCTCTCTTTAATTGTATAGCATACTACCAATGCGGTATAACGGTATAAATCATCTTCTCTGTTCAATAACTTTGAAAAGATATTCGCGTACTACATACTTATTTTGTCACTGATGCAGTTTATTAAAAAGTTAATCAGGTATTAGAATCTGAACAGAAAAAATCTATAAAGCAAATGAATGATTTTTAAAAATTTGTTAATTTCACAATTGTGTTCTTATTTATATAAAAGAAAATCGATTTTTAATTTTTTAAGATAACTATTATACATAGATGAATAAATTGTAACAATCATCATATTATTATAAATATGGAAAAAAGCGCTTTTTTATAATTATACTAATGTTACACATAATTCTTTTTTCATGATTCAATTTCTAATGCTGCATTAAAAATAATTTGAAACATAAATAAGTGAATATGACATAATAATTACTTCACAACTTTTATCAACATTTCAAACTGTCGAAAAACAATCGCTTATTTTTTTTAATTTTTTTTTTGATAACTTAAAAAAGAGAATATATTCATGATGTTATATATTTGTGTTATATTATATAGATATTTCTGTCAATTTTCATTTTTTGAAATTAGTATATAATTAAAAGAAAAAATGAGAGGGGTGACTTCTTTTTATGAACTAAATGAAAATATTGAGAATATTTGTACTAAAAACTTGCAACTCCTTATTCATCTGCCATAGGCAGAGTAACAGAAGTAGACATCTTTTTCTACAGCCATTGGACTCATAATT